ATCGCCTGGAGTGAAATAGCTGCTCAATAAAAACATGTGTTGGCTGATCAACTAACTTCTAACCTGTGCCCTTGAGGGGAAGGCCCTGGGTACCATCACTGTTTGTTGGCTTGCATCCTTGCCGTGTGGCTAGTCTGTTTTTGATCCAATAACTTATGCTCTTTGACCAAGCAATTCCTCTTCTAGAATCTGTCTTAAATCTTTTAGAGATGTAGGCAAAGATTTATACATAAGGATGTCCATCCGAATTTTATTTATAAGAGGGAAAATTGAAATAGTCTCCATGATATGGAAATATGGGAATGACACATAACTACATGATGGATAAACACAAATATGGGGTTTTAGAGTGCTTTTTGATACTGTGAAAAAATCCTCACAACGTAATGGCACATGAAAAGCCCAGGATGTAAAATCATAAGATTTCCCAACTCTGTTAAGACTAGCAGGAAAGATACCAAAAAAAATTAACAAATGGTATGTGAATTGGGAAGGCTTTCAGCTCTAAGGAACTCAAATCCTGACGTATGGTGCCTTAAACACAGAGGGGTTTATTTTTCTCTTATAAGTGGTCTAGAGGTTTGAGGAAGTGGAGTTAGCAGTGTGGTGATGTTAGGTATGGCATCCTGTGATTTTTTTATTTTTTTCTTTATGGTCACAAGATGGCTGCCACAGCTCCAGGCATCACGTCTACATTTGAGGCAGGAAGGAAGAAGGGGAGTAGCCTGCAGTGTCTGTCCCTTTTATCAGGTACATCTAGAGCCCATTGAGGTGCCCCAGCAGATTTTTGCTTAGGTCTCTTTGACCAGAATTGGGTCCTGTGGCTGTCCCCCATCTACAAGGAAGCCCGGGACGGGGAATATTTAGCTTCCAAGTCTCCAGAGTGGAGGCTGCAATGGGGAGGGAGTAGGGATATCTGTTATGTTAATAAACAGTGTCTTTTACGCTGCTTATTTCTGGTTGGTGGGCTTATGGACCTTTTTCCTTCTTTTTGTGGTTCTTTTCGGTCTTGTCCAACTTTTCAATGACCAGCCTTTATAATTTTTATCATTGACAAGAAATACAACAGACGCTACTTTAGAAATCCCTTGTGAGTACAGAAAGCATCTGTATTGTCATCAGTCACAAACGTGCAGAAGCAACTGTTGAGTTCTGTGGGAGCTGGGCTGACCCATCTATTGTCCCCCCGGCAGACTGTGACCCGCCACCCCCCTTTCCCTCCTCCAAATTAGACACTGTGCTAGTTACTCGGCAAGCATCCCTTCACCTAATGCTCACAGCAGCCACCTTTTCCAGAGGAGATGCAGGAAGGTTAAATAATTAAGTCACACAGACTAAAGCAAAGCTGGGTCTCAGAAGATGGTACCGAGCTTTAATTTTGTATGTTCCTGCCACGCCGCAAGCTCAGTAAAGATTGTGTTGAATGAATGCAGAGCAGATGAATCATGGGCATGTGCAATTTTTTAAAAAGATGTTTAATGTTTATTTTTGAGAGAGAGAGAGAGAGAGAGAGAGAGCACGAGCAGGGGAGGGGCAGAGAGAGAGAGGGAGACATAGAATCTGGAGCAGGCTCCGGGCTCTGAGCTGTCAGCACAGAGCCTGACGCGGGGCGCAAACCCACAGACCGTGAGATCGTGACCTGAGCGGAAGTCGGAGGCTTAACCAGCTGAGCCACCCAGGCGCCCCTGGATGTGCAATTTTTTTTCAACTACAGCTATTACTTGATAATTATTTCTTGTAGTGCATCTATGTTACCCCTAGCTCTAGCGTGATCGAAAAATAACGGGCTGTTACAAACTGCCTGCAAGAGAGGAGCTCTGCTCATTACCCTGTATTGAATACCCTTGCCTGAGTAGCTGGATAAATAACGTGGTATGACTCCAGGTGAAAAGTCAGCTGAGGATTTATTTCTCGTGGAGCCTTTAAAGAGTTTTATCATGACACGTTTCAAACATAAACAAAAGCAGAGAGAATGGGAGTTGAACTGCATGTGCCTAGCACCCAACTTCAAGAATCATCGCTTTGCCAACTTTTTCATTTATCTTCCTCCTTCCACTTACAACAAGACAAAACTGGAGGATTTTATTTTAGTTTTTAGTTTTAGCTTTAGTTTTCACTTTTTTAAAACTCACATCCAAATTAGTGCGCCTATAGTGCAACAATGATTTCAGGAGTAGATTCCTTAGTGCCCCTTACCCATTTAGCCCGTCCCTCCTCCCACAACTCCTCCAGCAACCCTCAGTTTGTTCGCCATATTTATGAGTCTCTTCTGTTTGGTCCCCCTTCGTGTTTTTATATTGTTTCCCTTCCCTTATGTTCATCTGTTTTGTCTCTTAAAGTCCTCAGATGAGTGAAGCCATATGATTTTTGTCTTTCTCTAATTTCACTAAGCATAATACCTTCCAGTTCCATCCACGTAGTTGCAAATGGCAAGATTTCATTCTTTTTGATTGCCGAGTAATACTCCATTGTATATATATCCCACATCTTCTTTATCCATTCATCCGTCGATGGACATTTGGGCTCTTTCCATACTTTGGCTATTGTCGATAGTGTGGCTATAAACACGGGGGTGCATGTGTCCCTTCGAAACAGCACACCCGTATCCCGTGGATCAATGCCTAGTAGTGCAATTGCTGGGTCGTAGGGTAGTTCTATTTTTAGTTTTTCGAGGAACCTCCAGACTGTTTTCCAGAGTGGCTGCACCAGCTTGCATTCCCCAAAACTGGAGTATTTTAAAGCAAACCCAAAGGTTCATTTTATCATGAACATGTCTATAATTGGAATACAAAGGCTTCTGGGTGACCTCGTGTTTCTCTTTCTTTAGATCTGCTCACATGGGAAGCAGTGACACGAACCTCAGCCAGCCCAATGACATTGAAGGGGCCCAGGAGGGACACATTCCTTCCAGGCTGTGCAATTTGCTTTCCCTCCAACCCAGGCCACTCCTTTGCTGAAACTCCTCTGGCCTCAAGATTTATACTTTTCTCAAATGCTGAAAATATCTGGCTTCCTCTAGCTAGAGACATCTGGGGAGTGTGGCTTCTGAAAGTATTTTTGGCATGAAAATGTCACCCAAGTTGCTGGAAGTGATTTGGAAATTTTAAGGTATTGAAAGCATCTGACTGGCGTGGGGAGTGGGGAGGCCGAGTGGGGAGAGGTTAATTGTAATAACGGGCAGTCATTTCTCTTTAGGGCCCTTGCTGCCTATGCTCTCCCTGTTTACAGCTCTTAAAAATAAAAGTTTTTTTAATGTTTATTTTTGAGAGAGAGAGAGAGAGAGGGAATGAGCAGGGGAGGGGCAGAGAGAAAGGGAGAAAGAGTTCCAGGCTCCAGGCTCTGAGCTGTTAGCACAGAGCCTGACGTGGGGCTCAAACTCACAAACCACAAGATCATGACCGGAACCGAAGTTGGACGCTCAACCAAGCCACCCGGGTGCCCCTCCCTCTTTCCAGCTCTCAATGCTTTGGGCCAAGGATTGCACCCAAGGCCGGTATGTGAAAGACGACAGAATAGGCGTAGGGGATGGTGGCTGGTGGGGGGATTAAGGGGGACCCCACTGCTCCCTGAAGTCTGGCACGTTGGGAGACCCACCGAAGGCTCCTGGGGGATGCTGGGATCACGTGTTTGCTGATGGGCTCCGTCAGATAAGACGGATGAAGCTCTGCCTCTCTGAGTCCCACATAGGGTACCAGGGATCAGGCTAGACCAACAGATGTTTCCCAGGAAGAGCCATTAAAAGAATAATAAGGAGCAAGAGGGAATCGTAACTAGGGAGGAGCCAGAGGGATCCAGGAAGCAGGTGCTGAGAGCAGCCTAGGCTGGGGCGGGAGCAGAGGCCACTGGGAAGGGTAGAAGATGGTGAAAGCCAGCGGTTCGGACATTGCTCAAGGGCAGTGTGGCAGAGCAGAACGTCCTCTGGACCAGGACCCAGGGACTCTGGTTCTTGTCCTGACTCTGCCATTTACCATTTGGGCTCTCATTTGCCCTGTGTGGGAAAATGGAGCCTAGAGGTATGAGAATGCTTCATAATCTTTAAAGTGGTTATGTTTTAAATTTTTAAATGTTTATTTTTTGAGAGAGAGAGAGAGAGAGAGAGAGAGAAGAGCACGCAGGGGAGGGGTAGAGAGAGGGGGAGACATAGAATCTGAAGTAGGCTCCAGGCTCTGAGCGGTCCGCACAGAGCCCGACGTGGGGCTCGAACTCACGAACCGCGAGATCGTGATTGGAGCCGAAGTCGGGCGCTTAACCGAATGAGCCACCCAGGCGCCCCTGAAGCGTGGTGTGCGTGTGACCATCGTGACCTCCGCCTACCTCCTCCCTGTGTTGGGATGATCTCGTGAAGGAGAAGTGCTTTGTGTCATGACCCAGGACATACATAAGCAAATGTGAGGCTGTCACAGCTCTAAGCAGAAAGTGCATGGACACTGTGCTTTCTGATTTCTTTGAAGCAGGTGACATTTTGCAGTGACACGTGAAAGAACCCAAATCCCCGCTCCAAGTACAAGAGCGGGAGCAGGGGCTAGCATACAGCCTTCTTTTCCACCAGTCACGGGGAAAGCAAAGCCAAAGGGAGTTAAGTTCTGGGAGGTAATACAACTCTTAGTGTCAGCCAGAAGGCCTTCAAAAGTGATCTCTCAGCTTTCTCGTGTTACAGATGGGATGCAGAGAGAGGCCCAGAGAAAGGGAAAGAATCGCCCAAGGGCACATGGCCAGCCTGTGGTTTCAAGCCTGGGCGTGTTTGCCTCCAAGATCCGCACAATCCCGATACTCGTTCCCAGCCAGGGACAGTCGCGTTCCCCCTACACCCCATTCCCCCCCCCCCCGGCTCCCCTTGCCAAACACCCGTTCTGATCGCACCACGGAGCCTGGAACGCGAGCCTCTGGGGGGGGGGGGGGTATAAGTTAAGCCACCCTGCGTGCATGTGTAGGTAGTGGATGGAGGGGTGATTCGTTTCATCCTGAACTTCAGAAGCCATTTCAGAAATCGGAGGCGGGAGTTATCTCCTGCTGTTGGGAGTGTTGATGATTTTTATTTTCTCCTCTATCATTTTCAGGGTTTTTCCAAAATATTACAACAAGCATCTATCATTTTATAAACCCCACTCCCTCCACATCTCATTTTTAAAAAAGAAGGAGAGTGGAGCGCGGCGACACGACCGGCTCTGTGCTGAGGTCCAGCCGACAAGGCCAACGAGTATGGGCCGCGCCAGGCAGAGGCCCCAAGCTGGAGGAGGTCCCGAGGTTCTCCACCTCTTCAGCCTGGAGGCCAAGGCCACCGAGGCAGCGTCATCCTGAAATGTCCTCCTCTCAATACCGTGGCCAAATTGGACTCACTTTCCAGTGTCCAACTCCAATTCCGCTAGTCCTGTGAAGGTGTTTTAAAGCCCACCTTCCCCCACTGGGACGAACACCGATCTCCCTCCTCTGACCTCTGGGGGCACTTTCTTTGGATCTGTTTTGTCATCCTTCTCTGCCTTGTCCTGGAGTCTTTTATATCCAGGTCTGTCTCTCCTGCTGGGCTAAAGCCTTGAGGGCAGGGCCTGCATCTCAACTATCTTTGTGTTTCCTGGGATATTCTCAGCCTGGCACATAGGGACCTCAGAAGAGTGTTTGTTGAACTTCAGTGAATTGAAACTATAGACCCCTAAGGGGGGACGTGGCGATCTATGGGTTTATGGCAGGACTCATGAACCTCGGCACCACTGTCCTTTGGGGTCTGATAATTCTATGTGGGGGGGGGGGGCGGCTGTGGTTTAGCAGCGTCCTTGGCCTCTACCTACTAGATGCCAACAGACGCCCCCGGTTGTGACAACCATAAAGCGTTTTCATAAACAATCCCTCGGAGTAGGAGTTCCCATTTAGCAGATGAGATAGGCAAGGTGCACGGCGAGTTTGGACTTGGAGTGGGGTCTTGTGTGTAATTCTCCACTCCAAGTCCAGTGCCCATCTCACTACCCCGAGACCCCTCGGGACCCCAGCAAGGTCTTGGCCTCTGCGCTTTAGTGTACCCACTGCACTCTCACCCCCTGTCCTGGGTTCCACCCTGTCCCCTTCCCCCCTGCCCGGCCCAGGGGCCTGTGCCAGGCTGTGACCCAGGGGTTGACCCTCCCGGGCCACGCACACTAGGCCTCAGGCTGTGTCTGAACACGCTCTCTCATTGTCTCTAGCACCTTGGCCTCCTCCCCATGTTTAAACACGCTGATGGTGACCTGGCCCGTCTCGGAGCCATACTTGTTCTTGACGAAGACGCCGTAACGCCCACTGTCCTCACTGTTGACTCTTTCGATGGTGATGGTGACCTCCGGCCCCTTCACCTCCATGTGGTAGCGGTCAAGGAAGGTGACAGGCTGATCGTTCTTCAGCCAAGAGATTTCAGGGGTGGGGTCTCCCGAGATGACACAGGTCAGGCACAGGGTCTGGTGGAAAGCACAGGAAGGGAACACTCAGTCTGGCCTCCCCAGACTAACACTTGGCGTTCATCTTCACTATCCCCCCCCCCCCCCCCCGCCCCACCGGAGAGCTCCCAGTACGTTTCTCTTGGTGATAAATGTATTACATGTGTTCTCTTGTGACCCCTAAAAGGATAACAGTAAAATGGGAGAGGCGATGTATTTTAACTCCGCATCCTTCATCCCTCAAGTTTTCTACAGGCACGTTTACTTGTTAGAATTTCAGACCATTGTTACCCTAGCAAATCTGCCCCAGATTGGCCTGAATTTTGCTTTATTGTTTTTTGTTGCATATCTGCCGTTAGGATTTTACCATGTAAAGAAGACTATACTGCTTTAATACAAAGATTTATGAATTGGCTTTGAAACTTCTTTTTGTTTTTAAATGTTGA